CTTCTTCTCTCGAAAGGAATAATGTATTGCCAATCCTCCGATTTTGTAAAGGCTTTTTTATTTTAGGATTTTCCTTTTCTAGGATGTTTTCTTATCATGCTGATTACAAATATACCATTCATATCCATTCAGGGAATTATCTATCCATGCCTATATGATGACGCTTCGTAGGAAAATATTTGTATCTCCTAATTTATTAGATTTTCTTGCTCTTTACCTCAAAGTGCTGAGATTAATATGCAAAGTATGCTGATAAGAAATACAACAACCATATTCAAAGAGAGTGCATCTACTACAAAATTCCATAGTGGGGTTTAAAGGCTAAGCTCTATTTCTTAGGGAAATTTTTGAAAAAGATATGGCTGATAACTCAAGAATTTGCATTGGCATACCCGAACGTGCAAGTTGGTTTAAACTAAGTCTACCTCAATTTAATGCGGTGTAACGCAGGATGAAGTTTTAATTTATGTAGAGCTTTAGTCATCCATTGATGGACTAAAAAAACTCTGAAAATACAGAGTAAATTATTTTCAGCCAATAAGTGAGTATTTCTGGACTCTACCTATACGAATTATAATTACAAGCTGAGAATTAGAAATAATTGCGCTTTATGGGAAACGTATACAAAGACTTAGCCAATCGTGTGGCTTTTAGTTTTGGTCACGCGTGTACTCGAAAGAAAAGCGCCAACATTAGTTAGGTCATGCACAATCCTCACCTATGTAGGCAAACGTTGAATGGTTGCTTTGTGATTCTGGCAGCTATCTCACTAGGTTTGTAGTGTTCAGCATCTCGTCGTTCTGGATCAAACAACTGATAGTATTCTTTCCATCTAGAACATATAAGTAGATTAAGGTACTAATTTTCTTCTTTTTCTCTACCTAAACGGCTCTTTCTGATCTGCCGCCATCCTGCCAAGTACAGTTGTTGATGTTGTATTCTCAGGTATCTGTACAGTGCTGTGCAAAGCAACCTCTGCCTGAGAAATGAAGACATTTGCGCAATCAAACAGAATATTATGGTGGCAGTCATACTTCGACTATGCTGTGGTACTCCAGACGGTACTTGAAGAACACAAAGTAGACGAGATTACCCGA